TCATGAGCTCGCCCAAGGCGTTCCACCGCTGCTTGCAAGGCTGCGACAGCATCTGAGGGCAAATCAGAGCAAAAATCGTTATATATATAGCGGATTGGCTTCGGAAGGCTCTCTGGGCACATGTCTGGGGTCAGAACGTCTGCGCAACGGCAATCAAAAGTCGAGTGGATACAACATGATACAACGGTCGTATAACAACCACGACAAGATCTGCCTTGGGAGTCTGCGCCATAGCCACCCGTCGGATTCATTAACAATAAGGCAAGCAATAAACCATGCATGAGTATGCTTCATCTGTCTCTAATTGCCTTAACCATCTCCTTGAGACTGGCCAAGGCACACGACCGGCCAATGAGATCTATCCTTGTCACATCTATATCATACCTATCTTGATTTTATACAGTACATACTGCAATCTCCACTGTGCTTTTACAGTGAAGTCAAAGGTTATGAAAGGGATGGAGGGTCACATGAGCTCGGCTCTTTGGCCGGGCATGAGCCAGCTGCGGAGCCTGCGGAGCCTGTGGAGCCGACCATGCGCACGGTGGTGAAGAGACGAAAAGCAGATTTTCTCAGCTCGTGCAACCACACCTACCGCGGACCTACACCTACAGACCTGCAGGCATTCAATGGCATTCACAGTCGGACACCTATCTATAATGCATGAGCTCATTGAGCACAAAGCAATTCAAGTCAACACAATTCTCGGGTTCCCCCAGTGCAAACAGCCTCTCTCTCTCTCTGCCAAGGCCCCGCACAAAGTGGCACACCCCTACATAGCTGCAGAACCTCAAGGTGAGAGCGGCTAGAAGAGCATGGAAGGCCAACCCAATCACCAGGCAATTGGTGAAGACAATGGAACATGTACAGTATTTTGCAGGAATGGGAGGGGGCTGCTGCAATCCTTGGAAGGTTTGCATTGCAAATGCCTTCATTAGGCAATGCAGCCCGATTTCTTCATGAGCGCTGGATTTGCATGTGGTGCATGTAGCCATAGTCCAAACTTCCTGTCTGCAGTGTGTTCATCGCAAAGTGGAGCGTCCCTATCATTTTGTCCAATGGCCAGCAAAGCCTCCGCAGTATTTGGTCCGGTGTGAGTACAATAATCTTTTGTGGGGTGTCTCCTATCACGGCCATATGACAACGGCAAACAGGCATAGCAACAACATGCTCTCACTAGAAGCAAATGTGGCAGGTCTTGAATGTTCTGCATGTACGCTTGTTCCTCCCGGAGCTTGTGCAAGCGGTTGTGCTGAGGGTCGTTCGGTCTTTGTGACAGTTTCTTGATACGCAATGATGAAGAAGTCTAGAAGAGGAGTATTATCGCATCACATGTGAGGGCCATGAGGGAGTTAGGAGTTGTCGCTTTGCAGTCTTTTTGCTTCTGGCCTTTCTTGCAATCATCCTTCCTATGTTACACCGTGAGGACAGCTACAGAGCTACAGGGCTACAGGGCCTTCTGAAAGATATTGCAGCTCCTCTGACCCACTATCGCTTAAAAGGCTGAATAGCCGCGAGTGTCAAGGAGCAGGGGGTCAAAACCTCTCCCTATCAAGACATGTTGCTTCCTCTTGCTTAACATGTCACGGCAGCAGCATCAAGTAAGAGTACCGTTCCTTCCGCATCCCTAAAAACTTATCCATGCTCATAAGGCTCTCATGTAGAGACACTAATCATCTGATCAATTCTGTTTGCTTCTGGATCTTCTTCCTTCTAATCCTTGGCTTAGTGGATGTTGTTCACTCAGTGGCTTCATTATCTGTGGCTTTCGAAGGTCCGTGCAAGGTCTGGGTTGACCCGACGCTGCGAACGATCCCAGCGCTGAAGAGGATGCCTTCGGCAAAAAGAAACAACGATGCTGACGGGAAGAAATCAACCCTTAAAAATGAAGCGAACATGAAGAGGAGAAACCAGGACAAACAAAGAAAGGAACCTGGAGTTCGTCAAAAGCGCACCATGAAAACGGCTGTTTATAACCGCAACAAAAGGAAACCCTGTTGTTTTCTCCGATGTTTCATCCCTTTTGGACGTGAAGCCTCTGGTCCACCCACCCAGCCTGGCTCACAAAGGCTGTCTTGTGCTGGGTCATGACCAAAGTTGGAACTGTCTGTCTGCTGTCTGGGGGATCACGCTTTATGCCTTGCAAAGGAACAGCAAGGACCATTCACTTGTGTTTTTTAGCATTCTTGCTCCAGTAGCATGTGATAAATTCCAACAACACAAAATGATGCTGTTGGTCTAGTCCGTTGGTCAGCTGGTCATGCTCTGGACGCATGTGCAACCTCCATTTGCTGTAAAAAAAGGTCAATCAGCTGCGCGAAGTGCCACATCAGGTATCGAAAGTCATATCCGGACCACCCCATCAAAATGTCCAATAAGTTCTATACATCATATCATGTCCCTGTCCCTGTCCCTCAAAAATTTCCACTATTCTCAGTGCCCCGAAGAGGCATTTGTTTCTAGTATCATCTGAGTTCTGCCCAGTAGCTTTGCTAGTGGCAGGCTACGACAGGCCGGATCGGCCACTTGCAATTAAAACCGCAGTTCTGCGGCATGGGTGTTTTTCGATTCATGCATGGACCAATTTCAATCCAACCCTTGGGGCGGAAATATGGCGCTGCAAAAGCAAGCTATGCAAGCTGCGGCAGGTAAGCCTTGGTTCTATTCACCCCACCGAAGTCAACAGTGACCATCCAGCGCATCAGCCTCGGGAAGAGATACTGTACGACAATGAGAATGTAACAGGGACCCAACTGGCATCGGCCAGGTGATTCAACTGCCAGTTTGCAAGTCCCCGATGATACGGCCCTTGTTAAAAATGGTCTGGTTCTCTCAATCCACCTTTAAGAGTACAAACAGATTCGGTCACTCTTCCACAGCTCATATGAAAGCGTCAGCCATCAACCACTGATGAGAGTCCCATCAAATGATCAGTGCATATCAGTGCCCCAAAGCGGTGGCTGTTCCAAGGGGCCGAAGGAAGTCCGGGAAGTCCAAGCTCAAATTGGGATTGAGCCTGATTCGGGATGGCAGCGATCGGCAGCTGACTCAGAGGGGCGATCTGATCTCAGAAGCTGACTCCTCAATCTTGCGCTCTAGCCTTCACAGGGCACCAATCGAAACGGATCAAACTGGCATGACTGGCACATACCTTGGTCATCCTTGGTCACTATCTTGGCCTGGCCTTTTCCTTTGGTCTTCATCAATCTTGACGCCCAGCGAGCGGATCAAACTGAAGACGGTGCCCTTCCAGTGGCATCAATGCTTGGAAGCATGCAAGCCTTGAGTGCCCTTTGCTGTGCCTTGTTGAGCTCTTTGATCCTCGAATCACTTCTCTCCTGGCAAGACCCGCACGACACATCCTTGCAAGTCGTGCTTCTCATGATGACGCCCATGTGCACACACAACATCACACACACGCACACAGCATTCTTCTCCTGCTCTTCGGAGGAACCCATGGATCCTCGGCGTGCCTGCTACATTATCACAAGTCATTGTGCGAGTTACGCGCAGCATTTTGAGTATGACCAGCCCGACCTGCCGCTCGAACCATGATACAAAGCTTTCCCGAAAGCTGTCAACTTCACCCTGCGAAAACCTGATGAGAACCAGCAGATTCTCTGAACACCGAGTCAAATAACGAAAGCCACGAAAGCATGGGAAATGGGAACAAGAAGCTACTAGTAGCACGGTGCCTTACTACTAGTAGCTAGAAGCTCCTAGTAACAAGTGCAGTTCTAGTAACACAGCTACAAGGAAACTCAGACCAGGGCAAGGTCTCATTGACCGCCTGAGCCTCTCGGCCGAGGACCTCCAAATGCGATGATCTGATGATCAGGCAATCAATGCTTGGATCACTCTGCTGGACTTGTCTCAGGTCAATCAATCCCCCACCTTGCCGTCGTTGCGGCTAAACCTTCGTTTGATGATTCAAGGGAAACAAAAATCGAAAGTTGCGGGGCTCGGCCAAACCCGGGGATCAAAGTCTTGATTCAGAACTCACTCAGCTCTTTGCTGGATGCGGAGAAGCTGCACCAGAACCCAGAAATTGAAGCCTTGCACCGTCATGCACTGTCGCCATCTTTATCCATCCACACTTTTGGCCGTAGCGTCGAGTGCATTGGGCCTTCGCCTTTGTCTCCGGCATCCTGCACACCCAGGTTGCTGGCCTTATGCAACAAAATGATGCCAGCAACGGCTTGTGGCTAAGGTGACAACCGAGCCCGTGGCTGTGTCTCGTGCCTTCTCCAAGTCGGACAACAATAAATTGCGCTCCTGCTCAGGAGAATCGAAGTCAAGTCGTCAAAAGACAAGCATCACAGCCGAAAGGCCACACCTCTGCTGTCGCCAATGCTGGCAAACCAATGATTTCCAACAGCGGTCCTTCACGAAAAGCGGCTTTTGTGGTGACAAATGGCAAACAACTTCACCTGCTTCGTTGACAAAGAATGACTATGTTATTGACTTGGCACGTTTTCTGGCACCCGGCCTATGTGTTTCACATCAAGGACGCCGGTTGCTTGGGGGGTCAAACTCCTCAGCTGCTGTGAACTGTTACAGTAACTGTTGTGCCTCCCACCCCACCAATGACCAAATGCCGAGCACGCGGCCGAGAATTTCATCCGGAAGGAATCAAGCTCTGTGCTTGTGAACCTGCAGCAACTTGAAATGACAACGGACAATGACAAACCAAGATATCTGAGTGAGATCTGCCTGTCTGATACCGAAGAACCTTTCCATCTTGATTTTACAGTTCTCCTGCACCCAGGCCCATATCTATGTGCATGTGCATGTATATGTGTATATATATATAATATATATATATATAAGCACACCATCTCAACCCTAAGAGTGGCTGAGGACCCCTGCCCTGCACATCGGCGCTGCTCATTGACCTGTCATGCTCGTCCAAAGGCCAAAGCTGCAATTCACTCCGGTAAACCAACTCATTCCTTTCGCTCTTTTCCATGTTTGTTCGCTGAGCGGGGGGCCGACCAACTCTACAGCACAAGATAGGCGCCGTTACACAAGTTCAGGAGCTCAACACGGCCTTCCCTATTGGTGCGAGTGAAAAAATTCTGGTCACGACAAATCTGCGACTCCATGATGTCTCCAGCAGGCAGCGGGGTCGCCGGCAGCAAATCCAAGATGTCCAAGGTGGCCCCATTCCACCGATGTAGAACACCACCTGCCTCGGCCAACGCGAGCGTTGTGCCATCTGCTGAATACCCTACAGAAGAAAGGAACCTGCAAGAAGACCATTCTGGTAGCAAAGCAGACCGCATCTGACCATCAACAATCCGAATAATCTTCACCTCTTTCAGGTTTTGCTTGTACGACACCACAATCTCCTCCTCACTTGGCGAGAAATTGAGGACCGCAACAGTGAGCGCCTCGTCGAACCAAGTTTTAATGCTGTGGCCACTCTGGCAGTCATAGACGGCGAGCTCTTTCTGGTATGACCATATCGCCACACGGGCCCCGGAAGCTGACAGCAAAGCTTGAGGAGTGTCCAAAGGCTCAGGCCACACCCAAGACTGCTTCTGCAGGCCAGCATGATAATCCCATAAATTCAAGTGATATTTCCTGTCGGTTGGTCGTGAGCCGTGTCGAGGACATGCTGTTACAGCCGTTGCTTCAACACATTGAACCTCAGAACTGCCGCAGAAAAATGGAGAATGTCTGCCAGCAAAAACGTTGTGACAAAACCTTCCACCCCAGCTGGCCCTCCCCTGGCCTGTTAAAAATGCCGCTACCCTCAGGGTCGCCCTGGAAAAGCACAGCCAGGCGCAACACCATGGACTTGATACTTCCACCCCAATGGGCACAGTCAGCTCGTTGTATCTCTTCGCCCGTCAAGGTTCGCCACATCAGAATGGTCCCCATCGAGCTGGCGATGACAAATTCACCCTCGGGCGAGAATTCGATGCGAACACTCTCATTAAGCCACCGTCCAGGTAGGGAGAAGCGACCCACAGCTCTTCCAGGAACTCCACACCAAAGCTGTATGAAATAGATCTCATCGCTCAGCCGTCCGCACCTCACAAGAGTGTACAGCTCTCCATCCTCCAAGTACATGGCATCCACGGCATGTGTGAAATCCAGGTCATCCTTCTGGAAGACCGGGCGGACAAGCGTCTGGTCATCTCCGTCCCATACCCCTGCTGCAGAATGTTGGTGCGTCACCAAAGTGCAGGATCGACTCACCAAATGGAGCACCTCTCGGGCATCAGATTGTCGTGACATGTCAAGCAGGGCTGGCATCACCAGTTCAATGTTGGCGATTCTTACAGGTAAGTCAGTTTGAGACGAGTTTTTGTCAAACCCAGTGTCCCCACTGGCCTCCAACCGATCTTCTTCTGCAAGACCAGCCTGTAGGCGCCTAAATCGAGGCCACAATGGGGCATGTGGAAAGTGGTCTTGCAGACAAAGGGTATATATACTTATACAGTACCCGCGCAGTTTCATCCAGGACTAGGCCCTCAGTTTGTTCAATAGTTAAGTTGCACGTGTAGTATGTAGCAGCTCTGAACCACAAAGCCTCCCTGACTCAAGCCAAGCATCTCGTCTGAGAGCACCTCGTGCCCCAGGAGGAGCTTCTGACGTGTCACTGCCTCTTTGGTCTTTGCAGCGATTGCAGCTTTCAAAGTGTTCAACGTGGCATCTTTCGGCACGTCAACCTCAAACAAATCGCCACTTGGCCGTCGCACAGCTACAATCACCATGGCAGCATCTGCGGTCTTAGGCGGGCATTGTGCTTCGGCGAAGCTTTTGAATGCTTGTGGTTCCTGTCATGTGCAGGGCTCTCAAGGCAGCCTTGTTTGGCATAAAATGCTTGGATACCGGCACAATCAAATGCTTGAGCCAGCGCTACCCAAACGCGTTAGGACATCGGCATCACCATCTTCCACCGAACTGGAGATCTGGTGTGGAAGGAGCCTTCACCGCGCGATTGTCATCCACCCATTGAAGGAACCTCAAGTGGTTCAAAGTCGCTTCCAGCTTAGCAGGGGTAAGTCTTCTCAAAGGTATAGACTGCTCAAAGGAAATGGAATTCCCGGCGTCCTGGCAATAGAAAAATACCGACTGGCCAGAACACAAACTGGCCGGAACACCTCAAATGTCCGCTCAGCATCCAAACATCGGTGGCAAATGGTGGACTCCTCCAAACGAAGGGTCGCTTCGGCTTGAAGGGAGTGGCGGCGTCCGGAGGCCTTAGACAGTCTGTGCGGCACAATGGCGCCATGCGACATGCGATTCGCTCGGCCAGGTGGAAAACAATTCGGTAGCGCTGCCCTTTGCTAGTAGCATCCTTGTTCCTCGTAGTAAAGCCAGGAGACCCTAGTAGCGTCCTTGCTCCTAGTATCCAACAAGACAAGCACTAAGTGGTGAAATTCAGGTCCTTTTGATGTGAAGAGACCTTATAGAACGTAGTGACGAGCGCTTCTGAGAATTAAACCTTTGCCCTCATCTTGGCCAAGGACACCGAGTCGCCTGGCACGACACTTCAAGAGTCAAAACTTCAACCGTGCATCCGAATGGGTCAGATGTGCAATTTCAAACAGCGAAGCAAAAATCCTGCAATACAATGTGCGTCATCAATGCACATGACTTGTCGATCCTTTTCACTGCTTGTGCTTGCGCACCGACTGAGGTGTAGCAACCACAGCGCGGTGGACAATCTCAAAGGGTCTGCCCAGCCCAGCCCTTTAGATTCAGTTGCAGTGGGTCACGAGAGATCTCTCTCTCTCTCTCTCTCTTGTGCTGAGCTCCGACCAGCAGGCTAGAAGCAGGTTGCCAGCCAGGATCCTTCATGGGCAAGGTGACCATCTTCTCCAAAGGCTCGCTGGTCGGTTGGACAAATTCATAGATCCAATCGGGTCCGATACTCCAGTTCCACGCTAACTTGTAGCAAATGTATTCGAATCTTGGCATTTGCACTCAGTCTCTGAGAAATCTGCAGGTGCTTCAGCCACCAAAGCTGCCATTTGGAACCTTCCTGCATCGAGATGAAACCTGGTCACATCGAGATCAAAGACTGGGATTCGTGACCGAAGATGTCAAACGATTTGACAGCGGCCATCGTATCCAACCAATGGTCATGGCGTCATAGTGTTAATCTTGGTGCAGCCCGTTGGCGATGTACATAGACGACAGCTTGCATCAAGATCAGTCAAACTTGCATGACCATCATCCCACAAGGAGCGTACTCAGGACATTGGACTGATTGTAATATAAAGGATGTGCACGCTCAGTGCGGGTAGCACTAGGTCCTGGAAGAACAAAGGATACGGACAACTGTTTTTTGAAATGCTGCAATGCTTATGTGCGTTAGAAATATGTGCTGAAATCATCTGAAATCTGTATGAGCCATGTTTGATCGCCCCACCTGTGAGACCCAAGGCTCCCAAAGATTTCTGAAGCATTCTGGCGCACTCAGCTTCCACCGCACTGCCGGGCTCGCTCCTTGGGCACCGATTCGGAAGCCGAGACGCGAGACGCACGACGCACCGAACAGCTCAGCTTTGGACAGCTGACGCCCTCGCCGAAAGCTTTGCAAGGCATTGAGCGAATCGCCACGCGCCAAGAAAATGAGACCTTGAGACAAACCAAGCCCTGCTTAAGCAGCACAATGATTGCATATTATTTTGATTGATTTGGAGCAACAGTGATATGAACTGGATCTTGGGCTGTGGCCGTGATTGAAGTAAGCTTTGGCTTCCTCTCGAACGCGCATTGCGGCCAGGATGTGCTTCTCCGATTCCTCTTTGGAACAACTAGCAGGCCAGAAATCAAAACCCTACTTCTGGCAGTTTGACAGGCAAAAAAATACGAAAGTCAGACTTGAGAATGCAAGTTGCGTAGCTTGTGAAACACATCACGAGCACTCAACCACCCTAGTGGCGTCCTGCAACTCCTCTTCTTCGAGCAGCCACTCTGCCATTTGGAGGTGGGCATCGACCAATGATGCGGCAGCTAGGCCCTTCTCGGCCCTGGAGAATAGATCATTCAAAGCTTCTTTGGCACCGGCACGATCACCTCCAGGCAGCTACACACAGAGCATTTGGAGCAAAGAGCAGCCTGTTCCACCGGCACCTCTGCTCCTGAGAATCATAGAGTACATGATCAAATAGCCTGCAACTCGATCACCTTTCCAGGATCAAAGGGTGGAACGACAACAAAGGCCACATGGCAAAGCAAGCCTCTTAAATCCCAACAGGTCAAACTAACAAATAGTTGCAATCGCCTCCAACCTGATAGCCATGGCCCTCCAACCCAATAGCAATGGTCTCGAACCTAAAATATAATATAGGCCAGCAGGTGCTAGGATTTGATCTTTTGAGAGAACATGTGCTTGCTCTGACTGAGGTGCGTGACCTTTGGAGCGCGAAGCTGGGGTCTGAGGTGCCGGATTCACCGCGCTGCGTTCAGGAAACCAGCTCCCAACACCTCATTCAATGCAATCACCAAAACGAAGGTATCACAAGCTAAAACACCTAAAACACTAAAGTCAACACTTCAGTCAACACCTAAAACACTGCGTTGACATCTTCCATGTCGCAAGCTTGGGCGCATAGTTCATATGCCAGGCGAGCGAGAGAACAGCGCAGCACCCCTTGCCTCTTTCCAGAATCTCGGCACCTCGTGTCTTTCCCAAGTTCACGTTCAACATCACTCAACTCAGGCCATCTTGCTTGGTCACATTGTTCAATTATACCTGCTAGGTAGCGGTAGAAGTGGCCTATTCAACAAATCTTTTCCAGTCGGCTGCAGCTCACCGAAATTCAGCCCATCTGAGTGCTGTCAAGGGCCTTGGAACTTGCCTTTCGACATTGAGATCCAGCATTTCCAGGCTGGCAGAACGCAGGTCCTTTGTCGAGACCCGAGACTTGCTGACATCATTCCGGACAAGCCGTGATGCTAAGTATGGGAGGCTATGGGAGCAACATCTAAGATATACAAATTGCACCAGCATAGGCCCCAAATAGCTCGTGAAAACGCATATATAAACCCAAAGAAATACGAAGTGGCTGGAGCGGCACCGGCCACCAGCATCCAAGCTCCCAAGCGCACAAAGCAGCGGCACCCTGCAGTGGCACGAGCGCCCAACCTCCCAAGCGCACACAGCGGCACCAGCCCCTGCACCGGCACCAGCACCCAAGCACGCACAGCAGCGGCACGAGCACCTAAGCTTGAGAAAGCACACACGCAGCTCTTCCTATATTGGAACAGCAGCGGCACCAACGCACACATGCAGCTCTTCCTATACTTGAAGTAAGAACCCAATGGTTCACGCTACCTGGGGAAATGCATAACATCTTAATACATATTTTGTGATACGGTATAGTGTACAAATATATAATACAGCATATTATTATAGCGCATAGTGTGTGTGTGTATGTGTCACAGTCCATGGAATACCCAGCACTGAGCCTACAAAAGCTTTCAAACTTTGCAAGAGCAATGTTTCACTCAGATTAAGCATCCTGGCCGCCAGCTGAACAAACAGTCGCCTTACACGCCGGGCGTCAAGCGAGGGAAATGTGGAGGACAGGGATCCGACAGCTACTAGGGACCACCACTCTTTTGCCTTCATGTGGTGGACACTCAGTGCTCGTGACTCATGGCAATGCTGCCTAGCTAAGGTGATGACTGTATCCCCGGCATCGAGGCTGATGTCATTTCCTTCCAAGTACATGTTCCACCGGAAGAGGATGTCCTACCAAACCCGGCTGCACATTCCGAAACGCTGTTTGCACATTTTCTTATTTCTTCTGCCCATCCTCGTTATCCAAGCCGGTAAAGTAGCTCAGAATCAATTCCTCGCCAGGCTTTAGATCTCGTGAGGCCACGAACTGCAGCGTCATCTCTTGGTGTTTGCCACTGATGGTCAAAACCGCTTTGACATTCTGTTCAGTGCGGGTCCCGGTGTTGACCTCAGCAGCCCAAACAGTATATATATATATATAAACTAGATCGGCAGCAGACCATGTTGAGCGAAAAAACCGAGCAAGGGCCCATCTGCACAAGCCATCAGCATGCTTTGGACGAAATCTGTGCCATCTTGCAATACATCCATTCAATGTCCCCAATCTTTCAGCATCTTTTCTTCTGTGGAATTGCTTGGAAGGTTCGAGGGCTCCTCCAGGAAAACAATTTTATACAGTAAAAAAAGGAAAGCTGGTGCACGCCTCAGAGTTAAGAAACTTGAGAGAGGAGGGGGGTGAACGAAAGGTAGCAGGGAATCAGGCGTAATCCGGGAGGAGGTGAGAGGCCCCCCACTTGTTTGAACAGAAGTGAGTGAGCGTGATGAAAGAAAGACTAGTGCACAAACGCTTGACAAAACCTCCAGAAGCTGTAGCGGTCTAGCGGTTTCAATACAGGTTGACGTGCCTTCAAAAGGAGTCACATATTTCTCAAATGCAACTTCGGATTTACATAGTGACGTGCGGCGACCCTGTAAATTGCGTGGCCGCAGGCCATGCTTGCAAACAGGACGTGCTCAAAAACACTGGTATTTACAAGGTTTCGTTGCCGTCGATCCACAGCCGCGGCAAGGTCTAAGGCCACGCTTGAAGACAGGAGGAGCTGAAAACACTGGTATTTACGGTATTTTGTAGCCGTCGATCCAAAGGCGCACCACGGTTGAGCGCTGGAAAAGCGCAGAAAACCGTGTAAATACCGGCGTTTTCTGCCGGGAAGGTGCACAAAACCCTGTAAATACCATAGTTTTGTGCAATTTTGAAGCCTCCAAAAGCCTCAAAAACCCTTTCTGACAAAATCTTTCCTGGTTTTTGGTCTTTTTTCGGTCATTTTTCTAACCGAGACGCATCAAAAACCATCGGTTTTTGCGGTGTTTTTTGCCGGACAGCCACCAAAAACGCTGTAAATTCCATGATTTTTGGTCACTGCTGAGGACTGGAAGAGCTGAAAACACTGATATTTACAGTGTTTTCGAACGGTTGACCCCGAGGCGCGCTAGGGTGGAGTTGAAAGGGGGGGGGGGCCCCCCCCCCCCGGCCAGCAAACGAAGATGTCGGGGACCATTTCTCCGAGAGATAGGCTGCAGCTCTGGGTTAATACATTTTTGCTCAAGCAAAAGGAAAACTCAGGTTGCGTAACCGCTACCTTTCGTGATTACACCAGCATAGACCCAGATAGCTACGCAGGCTGCAACAAGAATGCACGCAGCCTGCTTACGGCACCTCCACAGCGCGCACAATCAGCTGACACCAGCACCGGTGCGCTTTGCCAGCTGACAACACCGGCAGCGGCGCCAGTGCCCGCCCGTCTTAAACGCGCGCTCAGCCAGCCCACAGCACCAGCACCCAGGACCACAACACCAGCACCACGGCGCCCAGCACCAGCGCCCAGCACCAGCATACCCACCACCACCACCCGGCACCCAGCACCCGGCACTCAGCACCCGGCACCCTGTCTCCACCAAGTGGACAGGCACCGCGCGCACTGCCAGCTCACAGCACCGGCACCGGCGCCCGCTGTCTCTACCACGCACACTGCCAGCACCCAGCACCGGCACCGTGCCTCCACCGCGAGCAACACGTTGCAAAACTTGCTTCTCGTTCACTGACAAGTCGATTTGCAGCACCCAGCACGAGCACCAGCACCCGGCACCGGCACCTTGTCTCAAAAGCGCGCACAGCCAGCTCATTGTTTGTGTAAGAATAAGAACCCATAGCTGTCGCTATCTGGGGGAAAAATCCTCTCCACCACGCACACAGCCAGCACCGAGGCTCACAGCACCAGCACCGGCACGCAGCACCAGCACCGGCGCCCGGCGCCAGCAACCTGTCTCCACCACGTGCACGTGCACAGCCAGCTCACAGCACCAGCCCCAGCACCGGCACCCGGCACCCAGCACCGGCACCAGCAACCTGTCTCCACCAGCAACCTGTCTCCACCACGTGCACGTGCAGAGCCAGCTCACAGCACCAGCACCGGCGCCCGGCACCCAGCACCAGCACCAGCAACCTGTCTCCACCGCATGCACAGCCAGCTCACAGCACCAGCACCGGCACCCGGCACCCGGCACCCAGCACCAGCACCGGCACCAGCAACCTGTCTCCACCACGTGCACAGCCAGCTCACAGCACCAGCACCAGCACCAACACCCAGCACCAGCAACCTGTTTCGAAAGCGCGCACGGGTAACTCATTGTTATTGGAAGTAAGAACACCATAGCTTCGCTATCTGGGGGGAACAAATGTCATCGTAGTAAGTCGGAGATATTCTGCAGACTTGGGGGGAGGGTGCGGCACCCCATGGCGACTGCCCTCAATGAACAAGCAAACTGCCCCAGAAGCCACAGGACCACCCATCACACAGGCCGCCAAAGAACAACACTGAAGCCACAACAAGTTCGCCTAAAATATGCACCCCCCCCATATCCCGCCATTCCAATCCAAAGGCATCCATTCAATCGAAGGAACCCAGTCAGCACCTGGACCCAGAAATTCTAAGCTGGGCTGGGAGATAGCAAAATATCCTCACACCACAGCAGGGGCAGCTAACCACGACTCGCTGATCTTCACAAAAAGCTTCAGTTCTGCATACAAAAAAAAACAGTCAGTGGTCTTTCTGTGGTGTGCTTCTATGTGCTTCTTGCTGGCCATCTTCGCATATCTTCGCCATCTTCTCAACAAGCGCAGACAAGATTCGGCTCCGGTGAGTTCGAAGCAGCACTTCAACATCCTAGCTCAAACAGCCCCAGTGCCCACACGGTATCTACCGTAGCTATTCGTGAATTTCAAAACTCCCGGGAGCGATAGCAGCACCTAGTCTCATGTGACTCATGTCCTTCCACAACACCCCCGCGGTTTCCATGGGGCGTTGCATCTTTAGAGCCTCGAAGCAGCTTTCCTTAAGCAGGGAAGAGCTTGAAATGCCCCTGGATAGGAGGCGTTCATTGCTGAAAAGGTCAGTCAAGAGGCGAGCTCCTTGTAGTGTTCAGCCTGAATACGCCGCCAAAAATTTATCACAGGAAGAACCTTGAAGTCTTTCAGAAGATCTTCACCTCGACACAGCCCAGAATGTTAAGGCCACAGGCTTTGGCATCTTTGTAAGTTTAGAAGATTGTTCAAGCATCTGTCTTCCCAATACTGGGACCATCTGGGATCTGAAGCTTTCACAATTCATGACCCGGTCGAAATGGGACCAAACGGGTTCAGTGGTTCGTCTGGTCTGCGGACGTGTGGCCTGCATAGTAGACGTCACTTTCCTCCAGGTTGACCTTCGAGGGCAATAACTCCAAATATGAAGCGAAGTCGGAGGCTGGACCTGAAACACATCGAAAACCACCCAGGTTGATATCACATTAGGATATCAAAGGAATCAACCCCTCATTTGTGCCACATGGTTGACTTCCGCTCCGCTTAGGCACCTTTCGCCTTCTCCCGTGCCAGGATCGTCAGCAGCTTGAGGTTTCTCATCGATCGCTGGAAGCCACTCGAAATTGAACAACTCGGTGTAGATGAAGCCAAATCCAGGTACTCAGGATGAAGGCAAGTCAAGGTGCGAATGAGAATGTGTGAGAATACCCTCATGCCGTGGATGACAAAACAATTACAATAATTACAATTGCAAATGACTCTTTTTAGTCCAGTCCGGCTGCAAGTAAAAGGTCAACTGAGTACAGAATTAGCACCTGGTGTTCAAGAAACGTGTGATGTGTTGTGATATGCTACGTCATGGGTCAAAGTCAAAGACTCTGGATTTGTGGGGAAAACGGTGGACACGGTTTTTCCCACGAAGGCTGGACATGCACAGCCAATGTTCTCCTCGGGAATCGAACCCAACAGCTCCAAGTCCAATAAAGCCAAGCGGGGAAGTTCAATGGCGACAGCTCCCTCAGGCAAGAGGACAGTGGAGACGATACCCATCATCGAAAGACCTCCATGTGATACCAATGATGGCTCCAAGCCCCGGTGGAGGTAGCCACCTGACATTGAACCATGAATACGAAAGATTGTGATGTAAATGAATGAAGCAAAATGAAGTGAAACGAAATGAATGATTTAGATTGATTTTGGGACATCAATCCGATTCAACGTGCTCTCCCTCTCCCTCTCTCCCTCTCTCGCTGATTAGCTCCTGGCCCCGGAGTGCCAGCCATTCGCCCAGTGTGGTCCATTTCGCCTTGGCCTCCTCATGCCTTGGCCGAGAGCCATGCTTAAGAGTTGAGGCCATGGCATGCCATGGGGGACAGTCTTGGGGCCACACCCCAAATGCTGCGCCCAACAGCCTAAGGAGCTCAAGCCGCAGCATTTGCAAGGTTTCAACTTCCTAGTGAGCTGTGCAGGAATACTGTCCATTCATCGTGCTTGCTGCCATGCAGCCCAAAAGGAGGATCAAAGCTCCCAAAGCTCCGGTGATCATGTCACTGCTGCAGTCTCCTCGAGAAATCTCAATGTTTCCCAGCAGGATCCAGCAGGGTGGATAACTTGGCATCAAGTTACAAATGTAACGCGCATGAACCGAATGAGTCAAACGTCCCCTTACCGGGTCCTGATCAAGAGGGTATGCAAAGAACTGTGTCAGGCATCTTGCAGCACTGCCCATCGTAAAGCAATCTATTGTACGTGTATAGGAGCTTCAAATGCAGTCGGAAGCGAAGCGAAGAGTGCCAACAGCCGTGCTGATTGTCTAGAACTGGGAGAAGGCACAAGTGCTTGATGATTGATTGATGACACAACTGGCTCTGCAAAAGCACACTCTCACACTATGGTAGGAACACTTCCCCACCTGAGAAGCCCAGCGCTGTCATTGCAGCTGATAGGCTCTCCTGATGCAGGGAAGGGCACCAACAAACACTCCGGTGGTCGTCAGGCTCGCGCCTTGGATAAGGAGGGACTCCTTAGCAGATTCATGTGTCAGTCCCCAACCCCAGAACTCCTTGTGACTCTCCAAAACCAAGGACGCAGCCCTTCAGCTGAGAATTTGTTGTAGACTTGCCGGATCTTGCTGACTTCTTCTTCCCGATGGATCCGCCTGAAACAAACAATCAAGCTTACACCCTAGCTGCAGCACTGCAGCCGGCACCAAAGGCTTCTCCAGCACTTGTACATCTGAGTGCCACGCATGAGCCTCAGGAATTCTTGGAATTCTAAGGCTCCGCTTCCATTGAAGTCAACCTGAAGATTCCCAGGTGCTTGCTTTATTTGGTGATGCAATGCTTTACTCACCTGGCTGATGATCACTTGTAGCTCATCAAGCTTCACGCTGCGGCCTAAATACCTTGCAGGCTGAAGGGCAATCAGCTTAGTTCCTGGGGTTGTGTTTGGGTAGGGTAGATGTGTGCAAATATAGATAGAGAGAGAGAGAGACTTAGATATTTATTTGGGTGTGGCCGCAGTGTTCTTTGCCACTTTGTGCGGGTCCGCCGCAGACCGAGATCAACAGGTGAAGACTTAGTCATGACCATGAGCAACACCTTCCAAAACCTCCTACAGGTGTGAGATGCAGGTACATCATACTCTGGTGACGATTGGGACAACTTGAGGAATTTTGAGCTGCCACTCACATTCCCACTCCATGCAAATCCCGATCCCATTCCACCAGGTCTGCCTGAACATATCCGCAAGCTCGAGCACTTCGACCTTCAAAGAGAAGCTGCACATCACCAAACAGAGCAAGACCTCGAGCCCTACTAGTACCAGTGCCTCTCCGTTGTTATTGTCATCGAAGCGGTCAAAGACTTGCTTAAATTGCTTGAGCTCTCCCTGGCAGTCACCAAGACATCTCAGTTGATCCACTACAATAGACTTCTGGGCCCCTGGCAACACTGAAACCCTCTCGAGCCCTCAGCTTCAACATGAAGTTGACCTCAACACATTCAATGTGTCTGCCAGCGGCTAGCGTTCTTGGCTCTTGCAAAAGTTCTGCTTTCGGACTCGGTCTCGAACAAATTCGTCAAAGTCTAAAGCACCATCCTTCCAGCTTCACTCTGATGAAACTGGAACGGCCTTCTTCTGCGCATTGCAGAAAACGAATCAAAACGATTCTGTCCCTGCGGCCAAGGCCGAAGTAGGCATCCTTGCTGTCCACCACCAGCTCTTGGACTGTAGCCTGAGCTAAGGGGTCACAATTTGAAGGCCCATCGACCGAGGAAGATCAGGCCTCGCTCACCGTGACGCCAAGAGATCCTTGACTCATCACATGAGGTGCATCATCACCGTCACGTGCGTTTCGAACTCTTCTGTTCATTGCAAGTGTCAGTCATGTGGGTCACATAGGTCACATATCGGAAGATCCATTCAGATTCTAAGCTGGGTCCCAGTCCAACAAGCCGGGTGAGATCTGTGAACTCCACTCCTTGGGGATTCAGCAGGAGAATGTGCATTTGACGGCTGCTTGATTTGGTGCTTCCGAAGGGTTCGTAGCAGCTAAACACATGAAGACCTCCCCCGCCAAACATGGTAGGTTGACATCCTTGTAAAGGAATCATTTTCAGGGGTTAACCAGGGTGTCCCACTCCGAGGAGGAGGCTGAGAGCAGTCACGCACACACGCAGTGTCACACAAAGAAAGTGCGCGGAAGCAAAGGGCTCAACGGGCTGAGAGGGCTCATCACTTCAAAGTTCAAGTTCAAGGTCCCCCTGCGCCCATTTTCGCCAGGATCAACCAAGTTGAACTTCTGCCGGAAGACCTGGAATGCTTGGCAGGACTTGAATAAAGTGGGTCTCAAAGGTAACCTGGAGTCAATCATTGCGTTCAGGATGTATTATATATATATATATTAAATCCGGTAGTGTGATCCAGTGGTGCTGCACTTTGACACATACCCAATGCACATAGATTTACGATGCCGAAAGAGCTTGGAGGCCTTGAATTCCATCTCGCGCTGACGACCTTGGAGCTGGGATGAACTTAAACCCAAAGTTGGAGAGGGGCGAAAACTTCTACGGTAAGCTTTGCCAAATAGACAGCTGAAAGCCAAACGCGACCAAAGCAAGACTTCCCGCAGAGAGAGGAGGCTTTGCCTCAACAAGTCAGAACAATGTGCCACAGGATGGGTGGATTAGATAGCAGGTCCTGCTTCATGTTCCAAATCTCAACATTGACGGGCCTTTGAATTCACAGCTTTGGTCTATGGACACGGTCCAAGAACCTGTTCTCCTGAGATTCTTGCCCATTTGCCTCTCGACATTCTGCCACAGCCTGTCGAAAGGACACCAAATTTCGTCGGATCCACAGGCGCCTCGAGGTGTGCGCCTCCCTGTGGAGCTGCTCAGAGATGTGCTGGTTATGAAGTCCAAAGAAGAGGAGCAGCACCTCGCAAGCTTTCGAAAAGACAATACGCTCAAAGCCAAAAGGATGCCACTGCGACAGAGGTGGGACATGATGAAAAGGCGTTGAAACAAGCATGTACATATCTTCTTTGGCAGAATGAATGTATATTGTCAAATAATGTATGTATATATGTATACTGTATGCAAAGTTGTGCTGCTATGCATTACTATAAAATAGTATAAATGTAATAACCAATCACTTCTAAGCTCTGCACGTCTTTGAGCTTGAACCGTGGCAACTCGGTGCAAAATGTGATCATCGAGCATCGTTCTTCCAGGTGCATCATTTACAGTAAAGTGGTGCAAGGCTTCCAGAGCTCAGTCTGATGCTTGTTGTTGCCCAGCGGCCTGGTGGAATCTTCATTTACACGGTCAGCTTCAGTTGAACCAGGGACCTATTCTCTCGTGCGGAGAGGGAATCAGGGAATCAAACAGCCACGGCCAAACGAAGTCCTTTTCGCACCTGATTCGCACAGCAAACATGTTTCTCTTCATTCCTCTCACTAACGTGAGATGTCTATAGAATATCTAGAATCCAAACGGGTCCGGAAAATAAGCCAGGAGATGAGGCACTACGGCCATCATTTCCAGCACTTTCCCGACAGCAAGCAACTCTGGGCAGTCTGTGAGCCGATCACTAGGATAATCTTTTTGAGAAGCGTCCTTGCTCCTAGTAGCGATGCCAGGAGCCCCTAGTAGCGTCCTTGCTCCTAGTAGTACGGCCAGGAGCCCCTAGTAGCGTTCTTGAAAAATCTTGAAAAGTTAAAGTGATGCTACTAGGAGGTGCAAAGGGGAACATAAGTTCAAGTGAAACGGCCGTTGGGTAGCAAGAGGCTTGTGCATTGGAGGGAGCCAAAGTTGACGCCGGGAAGAAAGCTACGGCTAGCACAAACTAGTCTCAGGCCACTTCGTGGCCTACACTCCAAAAATGAATGCAAAGATGCAAGAGATGCAAGAGTGCCGGAAGTTCGAACGGGAGCTTCCTTGCTCTCCACCAAGTTCGACCTGAAAACCATCTCAAGTAGTTTTACCAAAATTTATATACCAAATTGCCTAGTGCCGGATTCTTGGTGTCCAAATGTGTCCAGGCACTCTTAAGCAAATCAGCCGGGTTCCACTTCCCTAGCTGCACTGGCTTGTAGCACCCGGCCTTTGGCCTCACAAAGCATCACAAAGCCACAGCTAGGTCCTACCAGGCAGAACTCCAGTCACCGTCACCTGCTAGGCCGACCAGGGCTCCTTTATCCCTCGTAGTGGTAGTGGCCGATCGTCGCCATGGTAGCTCCAAACATCGCTCCTCCTACATTCAATCCATGATTTTCTGATATGTTCTGTCATGTGTGCCAGGCAATTTGTAGGCTCGTAGAATATTGGTGCAACATGTGAGTTTCACAATCATGATATGGTTTTGACAACTGCAAGTGGCCTGGAGGATCCAGATCAGCCGGCGGCCTGGGCCGGGGCTCTGGCTCTGGAAAGTAGAACCTCGGCTCAGCTTCTTGAAAAAACCACGAATAAATGACAGGATACATTGACAATAACAACATAAAAGCTTCCTCAACTTGCTCCACATACTGAAAATCTGTCCAATCCCCCATGCTAAACCGCCAGTCAATGACTCAACATGATTACATAAGCCGAAGGGCTGTCGCGCCATGAACTCGTAAGGCCGCTCAGGTTGCTCCTTGATGACCTCAGGTTGCTCAGGTTACTCTTCACAAAGATGTGAATTTGGGCCTTTTTGATCCAAGAAAGCTGAATTTGAGGCCAAGTGGCACTCTGAACCAAGAGCTGAGTGAACTCCACCAGATTGTGCTTATCAAGGTACTCACGCGCGGCGTTGGCCTGGGGATCACGGCCATCTGAGGGCCACATGTTAGCAACATCCTCGCCTGTCCGATGCGAGAATTGGAAGGACCTGCCAAGCTGAACTAGAAGGCAAAAGTCTTGGAGTAGCCCTCAGTTTGGTTAGCTCCTATGGAACATCTACAACATCTCATGCCAACTGATTCCAGCCTTTCTCTTCCTCCATGCGGGCCACCTCCTGTAGCGTCACACTGGTCACAGGTAATGGATTTCAAAATTTCACAAAAACGGAGGCGTGAGGTGTTGGTGATGACGTTCCCACCCCAAAAAGAGTGGACAAGCATCAGGATTGTTCCGCTTGAGCCGTTTATAATATGTACAGCAAGTGTGTCTGTGATTGCCGCCTCTTCCTGCTGCTCGTCACTAGGGCTTACGGCTATAGTGACAAACATGTCGTTGCTGCCTGGCCGAGTTCAGTGGCACAAAAATGTTTGTCACAACAAACAAGAAGCTACTAGGTGAAGGCCATCGCTAGTAACAAGAAGCTACTAGTTTCTTCTTGTTAGTAGTAGTAATGCCCTTGTTACTGTATCTTCTCTGAGACCGTCTTCTCTATCGTGCTTCCTCAGATCTTCTGGTCATCTTCCTCTCACTTCGAACGGACTGCCCCCACCTGCAGGTGGGGAGGTGCCAGGCGAAGGCCCTGAAGGCCCTGAGCCCTCGAAGGAGTTGGATGGCTCCAAGGGGATGGTATACCTGGACGCTGCATAAGCAGCCATGGCGATGCTGAAAAACGGATGATGAACATTCACTGGGTGAATTGTTGCCTTCCACGCGGATAGTGTTCCCGAGGCTTGTCATGGCTTGTCATGCAACTTATGGTCCTCAGCTAACCTCTAAATAGATGCAATAAAGCTGCTGGCATTCTGTACGTCGTTCCTCACCTTGGTCAAGAGGAGGCTTCAAACACTCGAGCGTACCATAATCCCATCAACAAATGTGATTAAATTGCAACATCCAAGCAAACCAATGAAGGAAAAACAAAAGGCCGAGCGACCTACGAACCAACAACAAAAACACGCAGGCCTGGGCGAAGAATCAATCGTGCGGTGGCTACTGGCTCGAGCACGTCCACCTGAAGCTTTGTCCAAACTAGACAGAGTGGTTTGAGAACAGAAGCTACGAAGGGAAAAGTTTGGAAAAACGCTTCACAGCAATCTGTTTCCTCAACCGTCTGAAAACTTTGCTTTGCGCCTTGAAAGGGGAAGCTTCCTCTAGCGAACAATTGAAACGGAAGGGCCGGTCAGAAGAGACCGGAGCCTGCAACACAAGAACAACAAAAGCATCGAACATCTGTCACATTTCAGACAAGGAATCCTCCATCCTAAGCAATAGTAGGCCGTAGATGCTTCCTGCTGAGGGACTATGGCCATCCTCATGCTTAGGAAGCCAAAGAAACTTTGTTTATTCCCAGCCTGTCTTCGAGTTGCACCGGCTCGCACCGATAGCACACAGCCCTCAGGGATCCCTTCGGTCTCCACCACCTTGGACTGCTCTCATTGGCGTGACATTCGTGTGATGGTTGAGACGAGGCACATGTAATTCCATCGTCCACAAGAAAGTGGCAAAGCACCTTGGTGAAGCTGACCACATATCTAGCAGTGGCAAGGAACTGCTCGAAGAGCGCACACGCAGACACACACAAAGAACACTCAGGCAGTTGCCTGGTCGCACTGGCCACGTGCTGAAGGAGTTTTGTATTTAAAAGTTCTGTTTTGTCTCAAAATGTTCTGCTACAGTCCATTCACAATGCCTAGTGATAGGGCCTGGTGGCCTAGTGCAACCCAGTACCGGTTTCTGGCAAAATGGCTTGGTTTGCACCTTCCATACGACATGCATCTTCCGCACATCTGGAGCCGGCAGAAGAGCACAGTTCAGTGCAAGTGCTGCCAAACAAAAACAAGAGCGTGCACTCATTTACAAGAATACCCAAAACTTTGACTCTAACTACTTACCAAGCAAGTGAACGAGAACCGTGCCAAAGCCAAGGATTCGGACATCACTGGTACGTGTGACTCAAAGCAAGCGTGGCATGCCAGGCCTCACGTGCACAAATTCCCCGAAGGACCTTGGGGCGTGTGTCGCAACGAGGATCACGGCGTGTGTCAAATCTTCCCACAGAACTATGGGTATGATTGAGCAAGGACTCAGGGCGAAGCTTTGACCTCCTTCAGACTGAATCCCTCGGTGTGCCTGGCGGGTCAAAAAACTTCAACAAGCTGAGAGAGAGAAAATAGAAGCGTGAAAAAGGCAAAACATGCTAAAGCTGTGAGCCACAGTAAGGTATCCCTGCATGCCTGTACAAAAGAACCAGTTGCACCTGAGCCGGAGTTCCAACCCTTGCGCCCAGACTTACTGAAATCGAGCACACGCATGATTTATACAATTCTCGAACATGCGCGAATGACCGCATCGGCCCCTTTTTCTCACACCCACTGCTGCTTGTCAGCCATTGTGGGTCTTGCCCCGCGATGACCAGCGCGGGAATGCATTATCATCAGCGCCGATGGTGCTTCCGCGGCGACCGGAATTGAGTCACAATCACATGCACTTAAAGGAACTGAGCAAGCGATACATTTGGCCGCCTTCTACCTGGCAAATTGACAAACCGCCATCCACATGTGTCGGTCTTGCGTGGTAAGCCCCTCCGGCCTCCGTGCTGCGGCAAAACATACCTGCAACTTGCTCGGTACGCACGCAACGCGCAGCGCAACCACCGTGCTCTTCCACGATCTGCATGTGCCATCCATGCCTGGGGGCCAGTGTGCACATGGCTGCCTTGGCTGCCTTGGGCGCTCCAGCCGCGACGGCTGCCACTTCTGGATTCAGGCCTACAGGAAATCCCACCGACTCCATACATCAGTCTTCCAGTCAGACGCAAAAAGCCCTCCAAATCACCTCCAACCGCTGACGGCTTGGTCACTTGCACCCCACCGATTCCACCTGATGCCTTCACAAGGCACGAGGAAAGGCAGCTCAGGCACCGCTCAAAATCCACTTGTTGATCCTCAAATTGCGCAGCTTGGCCGGGCCTTCTTGATGATCACCTCAAGTGCCAACGATGAATTGGGGTGGTCAACCCAAATGAACACAAACACGAGTCGAGATAGGGCAACAAATCATAGTGTGGTTCTATCTGTCTCGCTGTAGGAGAAGAAAATTGGACTTCCACTGCCAGCACGTGAATCTGAAGCTAGTAGTAGCAAGGAAGCTACTAGGTTGGAGGCCATCGCTAGTCCGCTAGTAGGTTGGAGGCCATTATTACTACTAACAAGTTTTCTTTTCGTTTCTTTTATCAAACCTCCTCATGCTGTCAAGACACATGGATGTCCAGTGGCAAACTGTCTGCGACTGGATCCGGCTTCATCGCCATGCCGGCCCCCCTCAGCCTTTCCCTCAGTGGCTGCATGGCCAAGCATTTGTAAACTGTGGGACCATAAACAGACTCGCGCAGCAAAAGATTCCAGATGACTGTTCGGGGGGGTACGGCTCAGACTCAGTTAGGCAAGGTCACTTTGTGTTGTTCTATGATTCCTCTGCCCATAAAACACCTCCACGAAGCAATGCCAGGACCGCGGCCGGCTCAACGAAGGAGGTCACCAAGTGAGCCATCAGTCTTCCTGCATTCGAAAAACTTCTCAAACCTTGAAGTCATGGGTTCGACTGGCTTCCCTGAAGATAGACATGAACATGACCTTACATATACAGTACATACGGTAGATCATACGATTCTATACGATCAATGATAAAGGGTTCAGCGGAAAACGAGTCCAAGGAATCGAAAGAATTATCGCCTTGCCTGGTTGATATCCAAGGGGTGCCATGGAGCCTGACCAGTGACACCAGTGCGAGTCAAGCGTCACAGCTCGGTTTCTGCACCCTAAACTCTGCAAACTCCGTAAACGTGGAAAGGGAAGAAAGGGAAGGACACAGTGGACACAAAATGACACAAACATAAAAGGAAAAAGATTGAACAAAAAATGAGAAAAGGACGAAGGGCAGCCAAAAGAGCAGTCACAACCCCTGGCTGCCTGCCTACAGGACCTCTCAGTCGAGGTGGAGGCAGAAATTGCGCTTGGAGGTCACCAGGGCCGCGACGAAGACGTGTCAAACTAACGATGCTGTAAAAAGCCGGAGGAACGCTTTCAACACCGCAAACTGACCTTGTTACACCTTGTTTATCCATGTGTCCAGTTCACTTACAGTAAGTCAAGCTGAGGCTCCTGTGCCTCCGTCGACAACGTTTCACCATGCTGAACTCGCACGGGGTATATGTTGCCAACAGTCAGTGGTTACCTGGTTGTCGCTTGTATGTCTGCGGCAGGGTTGCACTAGTATGTGCATGTACCTCTCGCGTCTCTTTTTCGTCACGCCGACGCCACTCGTTTGAGGACCACGTCCAGCACAATGGTGCCCAGCGTGGCACCCTGGCATCACACCGTGTTGACCACGGCCTTGTTCTGGTTGCCATAAAGTGCACCTCGCCATTGGCGATCCGAATCTTGTTGAAGACCGTGGAATAAAGCCTCCTGAAAAAAAGACGATACAAAAAGCAACTCAAGCTGTGAGGCTGCGAGGCACAATCGAAACGCTCCTCTTCATGTCATCCCTCTCTGGAAGAGGTTGAAGCTCCTGCCCTCAGCAAAACCAGCCAGAACTCCCCATATGCTGAATTTTCTGTGATGGGGTCCCACTGGCTGAACTGTGAAGTGTTCAGATATTTCTCGTAGATTCTACGTTCGCACTTTGAAACCAACTGCTTGCTGATTGCTCTCTGTGGGGCGGTCCTTCTTGGTACGCGATCTGGGGTGGTATGAGGAAACGCCGATATCCACCCTCTCGCATGCCACGGATTCCTTCGTCTAGTCCAGCTATGGTCGTCCCATCACCAACCTGGCACACAGGTTTGGCCGTGTTGTTTAGAATGCGATCGCAGTGGCCTTGAAGCGTAACTCACACTCTGGCTCGTTGCAACGACCGTAGGTCCAGCCCTGCTTGCCTCACAATGCACAGTTTCATGAGTCATGCACCATGGCATCCATGCGTTCTATGTGTTCATCCATCTGTTGGCCAAGTTGCTGTACAAGCGCCCCGACCACTGTATGCGCACAGTTGACTCCTGATGTGGCAAAACAAGTCTGATGATTGACACCAATTTGATCTTGAAAACTGCAGTCGAAGGTCGAAGGTTGCTTTTGGTGCTCCTCCATTGCTTCGGCGCCCTTTCCTGCAACACGGACCGGCCAAAAGTCGCAATGAAATTGACTCGACTCACTCAACTCTCACCAAGCCTGGCCGCAAGTCAATGAACTTTAGCCCTCGGCTTCCCAGGTCCTGCCACTGGTCCATGCCATCCTCGAAATGGTTGGCAGCAGTTTTGCGGAACTGAGTGCGGGACTCCTTCATACCGAGGACCAGAACACAGCTCTTGAGGATGTCTGCATTGAATTGGGCTTGCTTTTGCCTCCCAGTGGCTTGAGCAAAGGCTGGCGCAGAGGCACCTGCAAGCCAAAGAGATCACAAATTCCAAACCGTTCGAAAGGTGATCCTCTTTGGGTGCACCTACGGGAGCAAGCAGCAGCCAACGCCGTGAAACGGCAAAGGATGCCTGCAAACTCGCCAAGGTGACCCCCATGAAGCCAACCAGCGGGCGTTTGGTGTTCATGAATGGCCATGTGAGGCAGAGAAAATCTGTAGTAACAAAGTGCATCGCTACTAGTAACAAGCGCATTACTACTAGTAACAACGAAGCTACTAGTAGCGATGCACTTGTTACTAATAGTGACCAACTCCCCCACACCAAGCAAAAGAGCTGTCGAGGGTCTGATCTAAAAGGCAATGCCACCAGCATCGCTGCCAGGCAGCTCCATCGTTTAAGGCGCATTGCAGTTGTGCCCCGAAGCATCTACCAGTACTCCTGACATCATATCTACTGATCATCTACTCATGGCTCTGCTGACTTGGGACTAGTGAGCTTTTTGCTTCCCAAGCTCCTCTTTCACGAATGGATCGCTGTGACCATGTCATGAGAGATCTGAACGCACCGAAACCAATGCTAAACCTTTTTGAAATTGCAACGTTCATGCTGTCAGTTCAACGTACATGCTGGGAGCTCCAAGGATCAGGGACGGCGAACACTGAAAGTGGGATGAGCACATGGACGAACTCTAAATCATACTTATAGTATCTTGTAGTTATAATGTATAACTAAGTTGAATTATCTTGGTTCAGCACCATCTGCTGAAAGTTCAAGGAACCTGTGCCGCATTCAAGATTCGAACATCTAACTGCAGTCAGTACAGGGAACTCAGGGAATCAAGCTGGCATGATATTCAGCTCCTCGACTCCTCGACAGTTGTGATTGATCTTACGCATTGAGCCGCACCTGTGTCATTGGGATCCACCAGCTCCACTACCTGACGGCTTTCAAGCAATTACGACTCGCATTTGGGACGGCCCAGGTAGTATGTGATACCTTATCATCATTATTCATCATGAAAAGCAAGAAGAAGCAAACGATGCACGAATGGCATGGCATGGAGGCCTCTTTGATTCGACTTTGCACGGGAACGATGCCAACGGCAGCCTACAGCTTAGGCTTCATGTGCCCTTCAGACCCACCTTGCTGTGACTGCAGGTTCTTAGACCTGGCGGTTCCTTTCATGAGTCTGAGGGCCGAACTAAGTACGGGAAGAGTTCGTGTGACGAAAGCCTTCCACTGCCACCACTATCCTTGTCCATGGACTTGAAGGTCTCCTCCATGAACTCGTGCCTGCAAAGGGGAAAGAAATGCACCAAAATGCCTCCAGAGCCGTCAAACCCACCAGGCTCCACTGAGCTATTGGCTCTTTGGACATCCATTTCCTTGCATGATTTGAGATGATTTGGCCAATTACCGGAGGTGTTTAACATGGAGGTGGTTATGCAGGTTAGAACCATACTGAGGCAAGCAGCTCAATGATGTCCCTGAAGTCTGTCAAATCCACTTGGGAGTAAGGCGACACCTGCGGGAAAAGCGGCACCTTAAGGGCTCTCAAACTCCAGCTTTCTCAGCCTCGTTGGTGATGCGTGCCAGCACACTCCTGTCGGCATCCAGAATGCCTCAATCTCCCAATCCCAACCGGAATACCTGATAAAGTGTCAACTTGAGGCCAGTGCCAAATGCCTCCAAGGCTTGGGGAACTAAATCCTGAAGCCCAGTTGCCCACGAAAGGTCGGCTGTGCCAAATGAGGATTTGCTGATCTCTCCAGGCCTTGGGAATGACGTGGTGCTCGTCGCAGAACTGCTGGAAGATTCGCTGAATGCTCTGCACCTGGGTGCGCCAAGGTCATCTTCCAGCAGCCCTTCGATATGTCTTGCAACAACCGCCTTTGGGATGCTTTTGGGACAGGACTCCCTTCCTTTCCTTTCCTTTCCGAAGTACCTACTGAGTCTACTAAATAAATAACTTATTACTAACTATACGCTTGCACAAGGGTAAACTCAAGGGTTTTCTGCCAGGTTTCAGTGGGAATTACCCACAAGGATCACAAGGAAGCTTCTTGCAACAAGCTCGCTCTTGCAACCAGAACAACACAAATTCTTCCGAGAGCTGCGCGTTCTCGTCCGACAGGATCATGCCTTGCAGGATTTCATGGGCTTCGCATGTCCGCCGCTTCAACTCCAGGCATGGAGGAATCATAAGGAATCATAACTGCCCAGGTTGTGCCAGCTCATTTCTTCACCAAACGGTGCAAGTTGCCATGCTCTCCAACCAGTTCTAGATTTTGCAGGTGTGATTTCTCCAGGTTATTCGCCACAAAAATTCACTTTGGTGGCAGAGAACTGCACATGCTGCAACACTTTGGCCCTCCCCACAAACATGACAACTTGCGTTTGCTCTAGATTCTAGATTTCATGCTGGTGCACATACAAGCGATTCTCCAACAGGTCTCCTAGCCGCAGCCAACATCACCCAGCTGTCACAAACGACTCGGAATCTTCACCACTCCCTGGGATCAAACGACTCAGACTCGATCTTGGCCTGTCTTGATCATTTGGAGAAACACCGCTGAGTCCGAGAGTTCGCCCCAGTCCTTTCAGGTGCGTTCACGCTTTGAGGTCGTCGAAGGGGTGAAAATGGTCAAGCTCAACAAAGCTCTTAGACACCAAAGAATAAGCAGTCCTCACCAAGGAAGCCTCCAGGTGTTTGCTACTTCAGACTTCAAATCATGCACCACACAATGGAACGGAAACTGTCAAATAGCCTGCGTCTTCCGTCAACTGCGTCACTAAGGCCTCAACCGAGCATTCAGCGATTCGCACTTCGGTGTTGGCATTGTTCACAAAATCATCCATCACAGCGTTGTTGTTTAAAGAATGCATTCTGACCGATCATTAGTGAGGGGGAATGAATGGTCATGACTTCCAACACCCAATGTGCGGATTATGCGTTTGAGCGTGGCTATCGTTTGCCTAAAACGGTCTGTGGAAGTTGCAACTGATAGCAGGGCCTTGTCCCTATCCTGTTGACTACTTCTCCGTCGCCGTGATTTTCTTGGCCGGGGTCGCTGCCTGGCTTGGCAGGTAAACTTGGGGATTTTCCCGCATATCATTTGACCTATAACTCATAACCATCATATTGCAGGCCAGATCCATACTGAGCCAAGCACGGGGGGGCCATCTTGATCTCCTCGGGAAGCATTGCGCATTGATCTGTGTTTCTTTGGGGTCGGATCAGCGCAAAGCATATAACTTCTTTGTTGCTGGCCTTTTGCTGAGTTCCCAAACATAGCCAAGTTGAAAATACGGCAGATTCTAGTTCTTCAGCTTGTTCTTGCAAGGTGCCGCTAAGCAAACTACGTTACCGTTACCGTATGTTGCCCGGCTTTCAGTGAGATCCTTTTGCAGCAGCCACCCGCTCAAATCGTGGCTGTGGGAAAAATGAATGCGGGCTGGGAATAATAGCCTGCTGTTCTCTCCTAAACTACTTTCACAGAATGAGGCCTTTGGCCTAGAGGCCTGGAAAGAGCCCGCAAACAACTTCAACAATTCAAACTTCCATGCTCTGGGTCTTGTTCCAGACCTTGTTGTCAATCCGCTTCATCATGGCTTTCAACTGCTTCTGGGGTCCACATTCATAGAAGTCGGTGATGCCATCCTTGATCATCTTCTGGACCAAAGTAGCCCAAAGAACTGGTGAGGTCAGCTGTCTTTGGAGCAATTCCAGGATGATCTTCGGGTCAGTGCCGGCTGCTAGGCGGTCACCTGTCACGTTCATGTAAACATCACAGCTTGGAGGACTCATCTTTGGAAAGGCCTCGAGCAGTGCTTTTTCCAACTTCTCTTGGGCAGGCTGCATCAATGATGTATGGAACGCCCCACCAGTCTTGAGCATCTTTGCTTGCAACGCTCCTTTCTTTTCAGCCAAGGTTTTCAACTCGTTCACTGCCTGCTCCGTCCCAGCACACGAGAAGCCCTTGGGGAAGAGTGCATTTGCAATGCGGCACACACTACCAGCACCCGCTTTCTTCTCAGCATCCGAGCAGCATTGCTCCAAAACTGCTTGGTCCAAACCCGCCACGGAGAGCATGGCCTGCTTTCCCACCTGGGCAGCTTCCTGCATGGCCTCCCCTCGAAGCTTCACGAGTCGGAGCCCGTCCTCGAAGGTCAGAACTCCAGCCGCACACAGAGCCGTGTACTCGCCCAAGGACAGGCCAGCCATACAACGAGGCTGGCTGGCGGCTGCCGCGTTCGAGGACTTGAGCTTGGAAATCCCAGCCAAACCTCCCACAAACATAGCCGGTTGGCAGTACTGGGTCTCGGCCAATTTGTCTTCAGGTCCTTTCAAACACATCTCCAAGAGGTCATAGCCCAAGATTGTCTTGGCTTTTGAAAGCATTTCCTTTACCTCAGGCACATCTTTCACACCATCAAGCATTTTGACATACTGGGAGCCTTGACCAGGGAAGAGAAGTGCAACTGGCAAGGATTCCTCCTTTGCTGTCTTTGGTGCTTCTTTCGCCTTTGGTGTCTCCTTTGCCTTGGGTGCCTCCTTCTGTGCTTTCTCCGCCTGTGCTTCAGGCTTCGGTGTCGCCACCGGCTTGGGTTCAGAATAGAGCTTCCGATTGTTCCCGATCCCATCAGCTTGATACCAGCCAGGTGGAGTCTTCTCCTCAGCTGATTTCAATAAGCTGACAATGCTCTGGTGCTTAAACTTTGCAGCCTTCTCTCGCGCCGTCTCGCCACTCTTGGGATCCTTGCCTTCAGGCACGACGCAACGAACATGGGGATCGGCCTTGGCTTCCAGCAACAACTTGACGGCTGCTTCCTGGCCGGCCATAGCCGCCATGTGCAGTGCGTTCACTTCAGTGAGGTGCAAGTTCACATCACCATTGAAGATCTGGTCTGCATCACCACTTTTCAGTAACACCTCCAGTTTCTCGATGTGGCCATGGTAAGATGCCTCGCACAAGGACTCCAAGGTGACACTGTTGTACTTCTGATACCGGGCTGGGTTGGGGATGGGGTTGACGAAGCGGGCAGGTGCAGGCGGCATGGCTGACCTAAAGGACCTAAAGCTTCAAGTCTTTGATCTTGCTGAGAGCTCTCCTTCTTAATGTTCTTTCCTCTTGGCATGTTCTGGCATTCTTGTGCTGAGAGGCATCCAAGGCCTTGTTTGTTTTTGGGCCCATGGCTATGCAAGGGAGCACGAAAACAGCAAATCACCTGAAACTAAGACTCCACGCCCATTCAGCCCTCCAAATCAGCTCAGGACTTGGCCGGCTCTCGCCGTGGAGCAGAGGCTAGGGTCTTGTAGATCCAGTCCTGGACCTGACAAACATGAGAGAGAGAGAGAGAGCTTCATAGTGTCGCTGAAGCAGTTGGGTCAGGTGGGGTTGTATCACTAGTGAGTGTCTTTCAAAAGGACAAAAATAGTTTGTTTCTGCAGCTCAGCCCAAGACGGCACCCTGAGTCTTTAAGTCAAAGAGGGCTTGTATACTCTTGTTCAGAAAAGAAGGGGTTGCCAAGATTCGCATTGTGCACCATGTCCCGCTTCGCTGCCTCTGGAGGATTGCTCCGGGCAACTTCCCATTCCGCTGCGCGCGGACCTAGGAGGTGTCACGTGTGTTCAACGCGAACAGCTTCTCCTCTGGACACGGCACACAAACCGTGCGATAGCGGTCTTGGTTGCTTGGGTAATCATCATCTGACTGCCTACAAGTCTGCAAAGTCTGCTAGCTAGAGTTCAAAACACCAAGCGCATGACTGAAGCTTTGCATTGTCATGGAGAGCTTTTTCATGTTGTTCACCCTCCGGACCATTGGTTCCAGTTCTGGGTCCTTCACAGCTCAGAGCACACACAAACACACACTCATGGATATGCGTACTGATGTGAATGCGGTGCCACACGCCGGCCTAGGGTTCCACTTCCTAAGAGTACCAGTAGGAAACCAGCGAAACCTGGGGGTCTTCAAACGGAGAGATGGCCAAAAGGAAAAGGAAGGAACGGCGATCGCGAGTCGGACAGGTTGACGGCGGCTCGTGCACATCTGCGGAAAGTGAACTGTCTGCAGTTATTGAGGTTCTGGGCTTAGCCTCATGCCATTCGGAAAAAGGAAAAGCAGGTACGTCGGTGAGCGTCCCCACCGATATCAGTGTTCAATGCAAGCCTCTTCGTTGGGCTGGTACTTGCATGAACAACCAGCCCCCCTGCTAAAAGCTCAAAACAATCCGAAGGATCCCTATGATTCCAAGGGTTACACACACAC